GTTGCAGCGGCAAACGAGTCAAACTCAAGCCGTCGAATCTCATGTTAACTGATTTCCAAAACTCGCGCGTAGCGGTTAAAGGAGACCCCACATTCAAAGTGCAGTTCAAAAAGTTTGAGGGTCCCCTGGACATCGTGATTGTTGAAGGCAACCGCACAAGCCTCATCGGGCTAGACTGGTTTGATGCATTGGGCATCCATGTGACTGGCATAAACTGAACGCAAGCAACGGACCTGGAGGCCGTTTGCCAGGAGTTTGCTGATGTTTTCAGCTCTGACTTGGGAAAGTACAAGGGACCTCCAATTGCTCTGCACCTTGATCCTACCATAACTCCAATAAGGATTAAGCCTCGTAGAGTGCCTTTTGCCCTTAAACCTAGAAGAGCTGGACAAGCTGTTGCAACAAGGCGTGTTGCAGCCAGTAGACAGCAGCCGGTGGGAAACCCCTATAGTTACGCCACTTAAGGCCAACGGGGAGGTGTGCATTTGTACGGATTGTAAGTGCACTATTAATAGAGTGCTTCAACAACATTCATATCCGGTGCCTGTAGTCAGCCATATTTTGGTGTCACTACAGAGAGGTCGCATATTTGCCAAATTAGATCTGGCTCAAGCCTACCAACAACTACCCATGGACGATGCCACGGCGGAAGCTCAGACCATAGTTACCCACGGGGGCTTTCAGGGTAAGACACCTACAATTCGGGGTCAGTGTCGCACCAGAGATTTTCTGGAGCGTGATGGAGCGCACGCTCAAAAATATCCCAGGAGTGTGTCTATATTTTGGTGAGGTCCTCATAGCTGGGGAGTCAGTAGAAATATTGGTAGAAAGGCTCAAAGCCGTTCTTCAGCGGTTCCGCGAAGCGGGGCTGAAACTAAAGAGGGAGAAATGCAAAATAGAGGTAGCTTCAACCGAATTTCTAGGGTTCCGCATTGATGCCGCAGGCATTCACCCTGCGGAATCCAAGCTCAAAGCAATTCAGCAGCCCCCCAGTCCTACGCCAAAGGGGGAGCTTCTTAGGGCTACTTAATTTCTATCATGCCTTTCTTCCACACAAGGCCGCAATGGCAGAGCCGTTACACCGGCTCTTGGACAAAAAGGCACAGTGGCAGTGGACAAGCGTCCATAAGAGAAGCTTCTCAGCAGTCAAATCATTGTTGTCTTCAAACTCGGTACTAACACATTTTAACGAACAGCTGCCCTTCAGCATTGCTTGTGATGCGTCCCCATATGGGGTAGGGACTGTGTTGAGCCATTTAACGACTGATGGGAGACAAATCTCCATAGCCTATTATTCAGGGACTCTGTCTTCAGCAGAACGCAACTATGCCCAAATAGATAAGGAGGCATTGGCCATTGTGGCTGGCATTAAGAAATTTCATGACTATTTGTATGGTCGGCCATTCACGGTCTTTATGGACCACAAGCCACTACTGGGTCTGTTCACGACGGACAAACAAACACCTCAGATCATCTCTCCAAGGATGCTGAGATGGTCCATCTTTCTGTCAGCTTATAATTACAGGCTGATTCACAAACCGGGCAGGGAAATGGGCCACGGAGATGGCCTTAGTAGACTTCCCCTGCCGTACTTAGAGCCAGACCCCGCTCCAGCGGCTCGCATTCTGGCTATCCAGGATTTGCCGGAGTCTCCCCTTAACGCAAGGGACATGGCTGCCGAAACAGCTTCGAACAAGACACTGAGCTACGTGTTGAATTGGGTGCTCACAGGATGGCCGGACATAAGTCCGGGACCTAGCTTTCAGAGTTTCAGTAGGAGGAAGGATGAGCTTTCAGCTCACAAAGGCTGCATTTTGTGGGGGAGTTGGGTCATAGTCCCGCACTCCTTGAGGCCCAGGGCACTAGAGTCTCTGCATGAAGGGACATCCAGGAATAGTCTGGATGAAGGTACGAGAAGCTACCTGTGGTGGCCAGGGTTAGATAAAGATATTGAGGCCCATGTACACAGCTGCTACATTTGCCAGCAATCCTGACCAGAAATGCCGCAAGCCCTGGTCCATCGATGGGAAACCACACAAGCCCCGTGGTCAAGAATCCACATCGATTTTGCAGGCCCCTTTCAGGGGCAGCTGTTCCTTATTGTGGTGGACAGTCACTCTAAGTGGTTAGAGGTTGCACCTGTCCCAACTATGACTACTGCCAGGACCATTTAGGAACTGCGCAGGATCTTTGCAACGCACGGGTTACCCGACGTGATAGTCTCAGACAATGGGGCTCAGTTTATCGCTGCAGAATTCCAGTCCTTTTTAAGGGCTAACATGATCAGGCACGCTACTTCAGCCCCTTTTCACCCAGCTTCTAACGGCCAAGCAGAACGCATGGTCCAAACGACCAAAGAATCCTTAAAAAGGATCGTAACCGGCAACTGGCAGCATAGACTAGCAGATTTCTTACTCTGCCAACACACGACTTCCTGCACTTCCACGGGCAGAAGCCCAGCAGAATTAAGATGGGGCCATTGCTTAATCACTAAGCTGGATCATCTGCATCCAGACCGAGTTGCATCGGAATCAGCACAGCCAACGCCACCGAGGAGATTGCAAGTTGGCAACCCGGTTTGGACTTGAAACTACGGGCAAGGGGCACTGTGGGTGGTAGCTGTGGTTGGTAAGGTGTCAGGGCCACTCTCTTATGAAGTCCTGGAAGACGATTGTGTGATACGCAGGCACATCGACCAACTGCACAGGAGGCTAGCGAACCAGCCGCTGGCTTATGACTCTCGCGAAAGCCAAATCCAGGGGCAGCCCGAGAGCAGCTGTACATCGGAGTCTTTGAGCGTGGGCAAGACTCCCAGGAGAGGGGCACTAGCGGACAGCGAGTTGGCCCCGAACACAGAGACTGCACCCACTGAGCAATTCCGGCAGTTGGCTCCGATTCCCAGCCCGATGGAAACTGTTCCACTTATGGACACTGGCTCGGGTCTACCTGGACAGACCAGCGACAGAGACTCAGTGCTACCCATAGTTAACGGGTCCCAAAGCCCCGGTCTATCCAGCCTGGCCGGCGAGCTATTAGATCGGGAGCCTACAGTGGTACTGAGGCGCTCGGAACGGTCAAGAAGGCCACCAAAATATTTACAGGACTATGTTCAATATTTGTCATTATGAACTATCTAGGGGGAAAGGGTGTTATGTATTGAGATTAATTTACTTGGAAACTGTTGGAAATGGCCAAAAGGCTGCACCTGTTTAAGCTCCAGACTGACTGTCTACATGTTAATTAAGTTTGTCTTTAAGAGGGAAATACTGCTTTAATTCTATTGGCTGCCGCCTAGTGGTGAGCTGTATAAATAGTGGTTAAGCAGCAGTTAGGGCTGCTTCTGTTGTTAGCTGAATAAAGAATTGTTGTTGCACCATTCGCCTCGTCAATGCCTCACCGAACTGGAAACATAACAATGTAATACCAATTTTACTAAACCACATGAAGATAGAAGCAACATGATATCTGTTACTGACAGTGATCATTGGGCTCCTTGCCAAAGCCCACAAGTTTACAGTTGATATACCACACCTCTGAAATGATACATAGGATTCCTTTAGAGCAGGAATGTAGGACTTAATAATAATAATAATNCTAATCATCTTTGTTGCTCTTCTCTGTACTCTTTCTAGAGTCTCAACATCTTTTTTACATCGTGGTGACCAAAACTGGATGCAGTATTCCAAGTGTGGCCTTACCAAGGCATTGTAAAGTGGTATTAATACTTCACGTGATCTTGATTCTATCCCTCTGTTAATGCAGCCTAGCACTGTGTTGGCTTTTTTGGCAGCTTCAGCACACTGCTGGCTCATATTTAAGTGATTGTCCTCTAGGACTCCGAGATCCCTTTCACAGTTACTACTATTGAGCAAGGTACCACCTGTACTGTACCTGTGCATTTGGTTTTTCTTGCCTAAATGTAGAATCTTACTTTTTTCACCATTGAATTTCATTTTGTTAGATAGCACCCAATGTTCAAGTGTGTCAAGATCCTTCTGTATCTTAAGCCTGTCTTTTGGAGTGTTGGCTATTCTTGCCAGCTTGTTGTCTCTGCAAATTTGATGAGTTCCCCATCTATCCCCTCATCCACATCATTGATGAAGATGTTGAAGAGCACTGGGGCACCCCACTACACACTTCCCTCCATGTAGATGCAATTCCTTTGAGGACCACACGCTGAGTACGGCCGGTCAGCCAGCTACGGATCCATCTGGTGGTGATGCTGTCTAACCCGCATTTTTCTATCTTCTCCACTAATTTTGTCACCTGGTCAAAGAATGCAATAAGATTTGTCTGGCATCCAGAATTAAAATTTTTGATTTAATTTAGAGATGCTTAGGAAAGATAGCTGAAGCCTATGAAATGATTTTGTGGACTAATGCAGAGCTTGAATAATATTATACATTTTGTGTAAGTCGTAATCATTAAAAAAATATTCCCAGACCATAAGAGTAGAAAATCATAGGTCTTTGATTTCTTTTACTATAGTATGAAATGATTGCTTGCATTAACGTTTTAAAGAAATCTGTCACCGCTTACAGTTTACATAGTTCACATTTGTTTTTTATTCAGCTGTAAATGTATGAACTCTTGTTGTTGTTAGGGATGGAAAGCAAATTATTCCATTGATAGTTCTACTATGACATTTGAGAAAGGAAGTTGCAGAAGTATGGAATGTTGGGACTAATGCCTTAAACAAGCCAAAGGTTGAGTAATGCTATATCTGAGCAAGACTATTTTTCTTCTGAAGCTAAAATGCTATTTTTCTCCTTTCCTTGAGCTGAATTATAAAACAAAGTTTTATGACTTTTTGATTGGCAATTTTCTTCAAAGTAAATTGTTTTACAGCTTGGTTTACTGCATTTTTTATCTTAAATTTGCATATAACAAAAGTGATGTTCCTTGAACAAATGTGCTTTATAGTTATGGACAGAAAAAATGATTTTATAAGTAGTTTACAAGAAAAATGGCTGCTGATGCTGTTTCGATATTTTATTTAGGATTCCAGTTCAGTTGTAGAATGGGTGCAGACTCCTAAGGAGAAGATTTTCAGAGGGCCAGAACATATGAACAGTTATGAAGCAGAATGGGATATGGTCAACACTGTCTCTTTTAAAAAGAAGCCACATTCAAATGGAGGTACTTAAGTAACACAGATATTAAAATATTACGGTGATTTATTGGTTGAGCCCTGTGAGATTATATTCCTAGATATAGAGCTTTTTACTTCTGGTACTTGCTTGCTGCAGTTCTTGTGAAGTTTCAGCTAATAATGCTGATCATCTGTCTTTCGTAACAAAGGGGATTCTAAGATTCCGAATTAAGGTATGTATAATTAAGGCATGTATAATTAAGGCATATAAATTTAATGAATGAAAATACAAGGCATCTGTATCTGTAAAAAGCGTTTTTATTTATAGAGAAGCCTGTTACTTTCTCATCCATTAGCATTTATTTTTGGTTATTACTGAAAATTGTTGAAGATGCTTGCGTATGATTTCTATAGATTATTCGAATAATTTGAAACAAAATGAGTATGTAGTAAGATATCACCTTAGGACTTAAAATGTATGTGTTGTGTGTAATCTTGTTAATAGCAGAAAACAGGATTCTAATGATATTTTTTATTTACTTATTACAAGAAGTTGTAATATGGCAAAATCTTATTTAGTGGATCTAGATGGATGGACTTCAGATGTAATGAATGAAATTCTACTGATTTCGTTTGGAACTAAGGGATGTTCATTCATTACAAGTCTATATGGACAAATATGTCTGCATTATTTGTTTATTTTTACAGTTTGTTTATGTCTTATCCCTAGTGGGCTGTGGACTGTTAACATATGTTATAATAAGGAGTACATTGTCTTAAATCATTAAAACAGAAATAACTCATCCATCTAAGAAAACACTATGTATTAGAGATGGAAAATGTAAAGGCACGTTTCTCTAAAAAAGTAACATTCATTGGTCAGCCAAAGTATCCTTTTAATGCCCATCAGTGGGCCAAGGTGTCATTTTAATAACTAAAAGAGTCTATAGAAAGTAATTTTGGGAGGAAGTATTGATTGCTATTGAGGAAGAATTTAGCAAGGAAAAAAATAAAAATGGCAACTAAGTACAAAATCTCTAAAATTATGGTTTGCGGTTGCAGTCTCCCATTTTGATACAACTTGGGCAGTAAACAGTATTCAAAATTTCGTCAGCAGAAGATCTGTAGTCTAAAGATTTGGTTTCCACAAAACATTACAAAAATGCATACAACTATGCATTATTAGTTGATTAGGAGATGCCAGGTCATGAGGGAAAGTGAATTAAGTACGAAGAATTGGATCAGAGAATGAAGAGAGTGGTGAGGAGGAGAGGAAAACCTGCCAACACCAAAAATAAAGTTGTCTGGAATGAGTTCATATTTTGGTCATCTGATTTCATACATTGATTCCTCCTCAGGATGATTACCTCCACTTATGTAGTACAAGGAAAACAATCATTTTAGAAGAAACATGCTTAAAAGACTAAATTAAATCAGACAGTTTAAGATAATTGATAAACTTTTTGTAATGTATTGTACAGGAGTTTCCGGGAAGCAAGGTTGTTCCCACACATAAGTTTAGATTTTTTTTTACTAAACTTCTTTCAATAAACATAGCAATTGTTAATAGTACAGTTCAGTAAATGTATGTACAATATTTCATTTGTTTTATTTATTTTGAAAAAAAACATACAGTATACAAAAAGATATCTCTGTAATATTTGTAAAAATACAAATACAAATTCTATAATATTTCTCCTAAATGCTATGAATATACTACATAAAAACAAATTCAATTACTGCATTGTACTGATAATGAAAAAGGATTAAAGTAAAATTCTCAACAACTTTTAATAACAATCTATGTTGTGAAGTAATTGTCCTTTCTAAATGACACAGTCACATGCTATAGTACATCACAACTGTACTCTTGGCTGTGAAACCAGTTAGCATATTTGTTTTCTTATAATGATTGGAAAGATTCATAACATAAAATGTTAACAGATAAACATTGTGTAGGTTATTCTTGATAATTACTCTAAGATGTTCCTGCATGTTTTACTTTAATGCTTCCTTTATTGCTATAAGACAGCATATGTTTAGAATTACAAATAAAAATAATAGAATCATAGAATAACAAAGTTGGAAAGGACCTTGGAGGTTATCTAGTCCACCTCCTGCTCGAGCAGGAAACCCAAAATTGAAGTTGAGGAAATGATACTCAATTCAGTTTTTGGTTGGTGGGGTGCTCTGTGTGATATCTATGAACATTTTTGGAGCATTTTTCATTAACTTAAATTGGTATGTTACCTCTCTTGATAGAATTAGTCTTTCTTTTGTAATATCTTATCATAAACATGAGAAGATCCAGATTGCATATTGGTTCATCTTTCACAGAGAACTTTGGTAGCAAAGTGATTTGCTTTCTTCTATGACAGAGGTCCCCAACTCCTAGTCCATGGACCAGTACTGGGGCGCTGCATGCCAACAACGGGGCTGCACAAACAAGCAGAGCCCCATCTGCGTGAGGCAGACAGCACACAAAACCACGTGCTCTCTGGTCCACAGAAAAACCTCTCTCCACGTAATCGATCCCTGGTGCCCAAAAGGTTGAGGACCTCTGTTCTATGACTTCCATACTTCCTTCCCAATACATGGATGCTAAATCCTTATTCATTTGTGAATGAATGAACAAATATTGATTCCTTGTTCATATTAAACTAATATAATAAAATGACAAGAAATTATAATTAAAAACTAAAATCTGTGAAAATGGGACAATCATTTGCTTTTTTATATTACTCACATTTAGCCAGAAAGTATTGAAACACCAAGTATTTATTTTAGAAGAAATTTCTCCAGTTGCAAGGAAATCATAATTATGATTAAATATTGCAGTTGTGAAAATGCTCTTTATCTTTTTTATCCTTTCAGATGTTGCAGTTCGTACAACTGGCGAGAACAAGTGGTCCTTCTTTTTCAGTTTAACAGATTTAAAATCAGTTAAACAAAACAAAGAAGGAATGGGATGGTCCTATTTGGTATTCTGGTTAAAGGATGATGTTGTCCTTCCAGCTCTTCATTTTCATCATGGTGATAGCAATTTATTCATCCAAACACTTAGAAAATATGTGGTGCTTTGTGAGTAAGTATTCTTAGGATTAAACAACAACAAAAGATGTATTTACAATGGTATTTAAAAGTTTGTGAATTCGTTTGAATTCTCAATATTTCTGCATAAATATGATCTAAAATGTTATCTGTTCTCCATACAAGTTCTAAAATTAGATAAAGAGAATCCAATTAAACAAGTGAGTTGCATGGGAACCAGCAAGTTATTCGATATTTTAACTTTCACAAACTTTTAACCATCTGTGTAGATTGTAGAAGCAGAGTAAAAACAAGAAGTGACTTTTAATGTATAATGATACAATGAAACTTTTGGTAATTCTTTTTAAGATTAGTAATATAGAGCACTGGTTCTTAAATTGTTTAACCCAATTACTCCTTTTTACAATTTTGAATAAGTCATTACCTCCACAAAAAATAGATACACTGTTGTTTCAGTAATAGCAGTCCCAAACTTGATTCTTACCTCACAAGCAAGCAATTACAAATTGCTTCATTGGCCCCAGGATATGCCCAAATTAACAAATTATCTAAAATGCAATTTGCAAAAAAATAATAATAGACTTTTAAGCAGTCTTCTCTGTGTCTCCCAAGAGACTCTCCACTTTAGCTATTTCCTTGCTCCAGGGCAAACTTTTTTAATTTTTTTATTTGTATGTATGTAGTAATATGAACAACTTCATATTCTAAAGGACTTAATTGTAGAAAGCCTCTAGACTATAACTGATTTGATATTATTCAGGTAAATGACAAGACATTTCAGAGTTCCTTGGAATAGCCTGTTTGCAAAGATGAAATGTTTGCTTATATCTAGTTTCATGTCTATTTAACTCCTTATGGAAAAATTGAACTTGAAAATAAAAGTGATTTTATTATAGATGAGTATTAGACAATAGGTGGCTAGTTTCTTTTGACACTGAGAAATCTTCAGTGTTCCATCTTCAATCTTCATAAATGAGAATTACTTAACTTGCTCAGAGCAGTTATTTGCATTAATGCTACTATTGATATATGGACTGCTCCAGTATCATTAACTTAACCTGCCCCCTCCCCCAAATATTTATTTTTTTCTCATTGATTTAAAATTTTAATTTAGAACCATTGATTAATAAAGAAGTTGACTTGGTCAATCACAGCAATGCATCATATTCAAAGCTCTATAGAGATAAAGTAAAGAAAGAACGATGTTCTCTAGCTTTTCTTGTTTTATCGGGAGTGACAGTGTAAAGATTTCTAAAGCATGAATTAGAATGCAGCAATAGAAGTAGTGGGGTGTTGATTGTTGGATGGAGTGAGCTGTGAATCCATATCTGACTCTGCAGAAGCTTAAAATCAGCCACTGACTATCCATAATTGAGTACGGTATTTGTGTTCCCTCCTGCCACTTCCAATGAGAGTGATTCATTTTAAAAGAAAAACAAGAAAAGCTAGATAACATTGTTCTTTCTTTACTTTATCCCTATAGAGCTTTGAATATGATGCATTACTCTGATTGACCAAGTCGACTTCTTTATTAATCATTGGTTCCAAATTAAAATTTTAAATCAATGAGAAAAAAATAAATATTGGGTGGGGAGATTAAGTTAATGATGCTGGAGCAGTCCATATGTCCATAGTAGCATTAATGTAAATAATTGCTTTGAGCAAGTTAATAATTCTAATTTATGGTAAACCTTATTGAAGACATATTTAATTAAAATGCAGGTATCTTAAGGGTTTTTCATTTTGGTAGATTAGCTATACATGAGTCAGTACAGCTTTTGATTCTTGTGCCATGTTAGCAAACCACAGTTTTGTTTATTAACATCCTATTTTCAGAAGGCCAAGATACAATCTTCTGTTGAATTTCATATCCTCTGTCATAGATGCATCCACTCACGTTAGTATTGAAGAGTGATAACATTTATTAAAAATTTTAGGCTTTAATAACAGAATAGGTGATAGTTTTTTCCCTCATGGATATTAAAAATACTAGTTTTTTTTTGTCTCAGAAACTGGCAGTAGTGAATTTAAATCTCAAAGTAACAATCAAGTACTTTCAACTTCATCATCAGTAATGTAATGTTTGCATAGAAAATAAATGCATATCTATTTAAAGTATTATATGATCACTTTATAATCTGTAGCTGCTGTTTTTTTTTCAAATGCAAGTTTTATAGTTATTCTTAGCTTATCCCAAAGTAGGAAACAGAATTATAGAAGGAAGTGTAGAAAAATATACTTTTTTCCCCCCTCTCAGATCTGAACAGGATAAAAGGGTTCTTGTGAATTATCAGAGTATTTCACAGTCCTTTGAAAATCTCCTTGATGAACCAACATGTGGCCTAATACAGGTTAGTATAGTGTATTATTTATGGTAAAGATTAAATGTAAGATTTAATATATTAAAATAGCTGTTTCTTGAAATAAACAGGAATGGGGGTGGAGTGGGAGAGACCAAAATCTTGCAGTAAGAGAAAGCTTGCAACTTTATTACATTTTATAAAAAGCCTTTATTGAGCCTAATATGCATACAGTCATAGACAAAAGAACCCCTGAAATCTGGAAAGAATGAGTTGACTGACATATATGAATAAGCTTGGAGTATAATGCAAGGAAACCAAGTAGTAGCCAGAATGAAGAGAAAAGACCATACAAAATATTTTTATACAGTTGCTATTCTGGAGATGGAAACGCATCTGTAGAGCAGTGCTGACAAGCAGAGCAATACAAAGCAAAGACATCTGCTGAAGACCAAATGGTTTCAGATCCTCCACTGGAAATTTCTGACACTGAAGGTGAAAGCTAAGTCAAGTGAGCAGAGCCATGGGTAAATGTTATGAGAAGTATGCTGCATCAGCAACAAGAGAAGCATGCATATCTTCTAAGATGAGAAGAGGAAGAAAGGCAGTGGAGAGAGATCCTAACTGGAAGTCACCCAGAATAAGAAAGGAAAGAGAAAAAAGTCTAAAGGGACATGCATAGAGCTCATTTTCCTTTTCAGAAATCAGGAGTCACTGGGGAGGTATCTTTAGTCACTTTAGAAGTATCTAGTAGAGGAGAGAAGGATTTTGTGTTGAGAATATAAAAATCTATAAATTGATGAGGAACGCTATAAAATAAGGATATAGAGAGATTTTTATAGTTTGAATAAGTGACAGTATCATGTAAATGTCCAATTGAAGATTGGATGGCTAGATTCTAATAGGAAAGGTTTTGAGGGCATATGCTCTGCCTCTCTTTCACCTACCTACCTATCTACCTACCCACCCACCAATCCACCCACCCAGATAAATATAACAGGGTCTTCTGCCTTCAACAAAACAGCAGATGAATTAAATAGAATGGCATAATACTCATTATCTTGACAGATCAGGGAAGTCAGTCAAGCCTCCTAAAATATCCCTAAAGTCCTATCTCTATTATTATGATGATTCAGACTCTCAAGATGTTAAGAAATATATGCAGGATGGCATCCCATCATTTCAAAACCTGGTTGCCACATCTCATGTTTGTGTACAGGGAAGAACTGCATACTTTAGCAGGATTTATTTCTTTTACAATAGTGTATGGATATAATGAAAGAAAAATGGAATAACTGGACTGAATCCTCTAAAAATGTGGTTGAATATGTAGTGATTCAAATTTATCTGGACAATGGAAAATATTAAGTAAAAAGTTACATAAAAGACAATCCTGGCTTTCTTATCTGGAGTAAGAATAACTGAGAGGTCATGGAAAAGAAATATGAAGGTTTGGACAGTACCAGTAATCAAGAATTGCAGCCCAATCAATATCTGTCATCACAAAAAGAATATCTAAAATCTGATTCAAATTTTCCAAATTACATTTTCCAAATTACAATGTACCATGTCAGTGGAGCATATCATTGATACTGGGATGTCGAACCAGTCTGATAGAGACAACATTTGTTGCAGAGAGACTCTAGAAAGTATTAGAAAAAGAGATGGATAAAATGTTGAAACTGGGAGTAATTGAACCATCTCAAATTGAATGGTATTCCCCTATTGTGTTGGCATCAAAACCAAACAATGTGCGCAGGTTTGTTATGCAACAAGTCCCTTTATACACTAATTCAACAGCTATTTGATGCCTGGTATAGAAGATCTTCTAGATAGACTAAGTAATGCCCAGTATCTCTCTACCATTGTCTTGATATCTGGATATTGACAAACACCATTAAAGAAGTCAAGGGAAAACCTCCCCCAAACCTCTCCATAATATGGCAGGTTGTCTGCTTCTAATACTCACTCAGCACTCATCTAGGGAAGGAAATCTAACAGCTGTCCTTTCCTGAGTAATCTGGGAATTGGGATGGGGAAAAGAAGGGGCAGCACTCCAAAGAGAGGCTACCACCTCAAAGATAGCCAGTTTTCAGGGCGGAACCCTACATAAAAATGAATGCTTTCTTATTTTATGGATTGTGTAGGTCTATAATGGAGAAGTTGATCTATTAGGAAACTTAAATCCAGATTGTTTTAGGTTTTGTGTGTCAGTGGTAAGATATTGAAACTGGCTATGTAGCTAATAGGTAGCCAGCATTATTGCTGATGTAATGTGCCTAGCCCATGATACACAGCATCCTATCTGCAAAATTCTGCACCAGTTGCAAATTCTAGGTCAAGTATTCAAGTTATGCTTCTTAATTCTGTTTCATTAAAAAAACACACATAGTCTTTTTTAATGTAATATTATTGTGATGAATTTTGTCTTCATCATAGTACCTCCCAATTTCTTCATATGTTCATGCATCTATCCAAATAAACTTTATCTTTGTTTTTCTTAGAAATTGAAAAAGGATCCTTACACAACAACAATGGGAAGATTTTCCAAAGTGACAAACTATATTTTTGATAGCTTACGAGGAAATGACTCACTAAATGAGCAGCGGCCTCCATCAGAAATGGCAGATTTCATTAGTGATGCTATTCCAGGACTAAAAATAAATCAACAAGAAGAACCAGGATTTGAAGTCATTACACGAGTGAGTTTTAAGTTCTTGGAATTTTAGATGGTAACAAGATATCCATCTGGTGGTTTGAAAATTAATGTCTTGGCAATAATGTAATAGATTTTTGATGCATGTTTTAGATTGATTTAGGAAAACGACTTGAAGTTCATAGAAAGCAACCAGTATCAATTGAAGAATGGACTAAGAATATGGATTCTGAAGGAAGAATATTGAATGTAAACGCTATGAAACAAATGATATTCAGAGGGGTAATATCTTCAGTTATCTACTTTTAATTGTTTTTAAAATAGTGACCAAAAAACTAGAAAAAACTGCAAAGATGAAAATGCATACATTGTCAAAAAAAGTAAAACACATAAAGTGCTACACATAAAGTAGTAATACATCATTTTAACAGTAAATAATTGCAATTCTACAAACAGTTGTCTAATGCAATATTACTACTTCTGAGTTGGAAGTGCCAAAGTGCTTCTAGGGTGAAAGGAGTTACCGGTGATATCACCATTGCCTGGGGGACACCCAGTTCAGGGTTCCTTTTGTGTCCCCATTAAATTGCCCACCAAAGTGGTACCCTTTTATCTACTCATGGTTTCCTGCTTTCAAACTGCTGGGTCGGCAGGAGCTGGATGGTGTGATGGGAGCTCACCCACCCCATGGCAGGAAGGGGTCTTGAATGCAAGCCTACCAATTAGCCCAGCAGTCTAACCTTATGAACCAGCATGCTCCTCGTCTGATGCAATTATTCAAGTTTATATATATATTTCTAATACATTTATACAATTATATTTTTTAATCTAATGTACTTTGTATAAATGAATCCTATATTTCATTATATTTGTCCATTCAAAGTCTACGTCTGAAGTCAATTTGCTCATAAGTGGCAAGTGCGATCAGGTCCTCAGTCTATTACAGTGGTGGTGAACCTATGGCACATGTGCCAGAGGCGGCACTCAGAGCCCTCTCTGTGGGCACACGCACCGTCATCCCAGCCCCGCCTCCCATGGCCCCCTCCTCACCAGCAACCCCCCTGGAGAAGAGTCGCCCCTGGGTGCAGCCCACGCGAAGCTGCGCAGCCAAGGACATGGTAGCCGGGCAGCGGGGACAAGACTCCGCCCTTGCGCCCCATCGCACACAGATGATGCTCCGGGGCACAGGTGGAGGGCGTGGCCACCATGGTGCTGCTGGGCTGCCTGGGTGATCTGTGATGGGCCGTGGAGATGGTGGGTGGCCCAGCGGGCAGGGCGGAGTAGGGATGGGGGTGGTGTGGTGGGTTTTGGGCACTTGGTCTCTAAAAGGTTCGCCATCACTGGTCTATTATGTGAAAAGGCCATACATTTAAGTTTCCAATGCTGCAATCTCACTATTTTTGTCATAATAAGGGCACAATGACTCCATTAATGTTTAACTTTTTTTTCCAAATCTACATTTTTATATAAAGAGTTAAGTTGTATTCATTTTATCATTCATACAAAAGATATATTGGGGAGGGAATGTGCTCTGAAATATAGAGATGAAATATCAGTAAAAGATGGGACATAAACAATTGACAACAGTTATTCGTCTATCTCCATACCACTTGAACAGCTGCCTAAATCTTTCAAAGCAAAAACAAAACTTCCTTTGTTACTGTACTTCACAATAATTTTTAAATAAATTTTAAATCATTGAAATGAAATGGTTTGATAACTGTATCAACTGTAGGAAGTAATAGCAATAGCAATAACACTTAGACTTATGTATCACTTCACAGTGCTTTACAGCTCTCTCTAAGCAGTTTACAGAGTCAGCATATTCCCCCCAATAATCTGGGTCCTCATTTTACTGACCTTGGAAGGATTGAAGGCTGAGTGAACCTTGAACCAGTAAGACTCAAACTGCCGAACTGCTGGCAGTTGGTAGTCAGAAGAATTAGCCTGCATTACTGCATTCTAACCACTGTGTCACCACAGCTCCAATATTACTTATAGAGCAGTGATGGCGAACCTTTTAGAGACCGAGCGCCCAAACTGCAACCCAAAACCCACTTATGTATCATCGGGTGCTGGATGGCCTATTGGGTAGGTGTGGCCCATTGGGTGGGCCTAGCTGTGGTGGTAACGGCAGACTGCGTGGGACTAAAAAGTTCAATCAATTCCAACTTTGCGAGATCTTTTTTTCCCCCGCAAGAAGTTGAAATTGATTGATTGATTGAACCTTTTTTTTTTTTGCACACGGCAGCAGAGGCCTAAAGCAAAAAGGTTTTATAAAACCCAGCTGAAGGTCTAGGACTGGGGCGATGGCGCGTGTGCCCACAGAGAGGGCTCTGCGTGCCACAGGTTCGCCACCACGGTTATAGAGGATTCTCTAAAAAGTGATGATACAAGCCAAGGAAAAACAAAGAGGTAGGCGACAGAGAGAGATAATATGGAAACCAAATGTTGGAAGGACAGACCATTAATTTTTTATTAGTAAAGAGTTTTGCAAAATTAAGTCTGGGAAACCAAAATGAGTAATATTATTAACAAGATAGAAAATTAGCCTACTTATGAGACTATGAGAATCACCTTGACTACCTTACAATCAATGAAACAAAGGACTTTGAGCAAAAAATCCAGAGAAATTGTAAGAAGCAATTAAGGATGGTAGTGCTACCCTTATAGAATGACTTGGTTTGTTCCTGGTCTTCATGTTTTACATATAAAGGGTCCAGTTTTACCTTTACTTTTTTTTTCTTCCAAGGGGCTTTGTCATGCTTTGAGGAAGGAAGTGTGGAAATTCCTGTTGGGTTACTATTCGTGGAATACTACCAGGGATGAGAGGACAAGTATGCAGAAAAGGAAAACGTAAGCATGATATATTAAAACAGTGACATGGCAGTAACACGTTTAAACAGAAAGCAGCAAAATTGTGGTGGCTGGATGTCATGTCTTTCTGCGGGATTGGGGAAAATGGCTAAAGTTAGCTGGCTAATGACATTATGAGTGGTTGTACTGAGACTTGGGGGTATGTGAAGTTGAAGATTTGCACACTGATTTTATTTTGCCAATTATCTTGGCAGTAATGCATGTGTTTATTGTTTGCTGGTTTGCTGTCGAAGTTCTATTGTATTTTTTATGATATCTCTTAGCCCTCAAAAGGAGAAGTGGATCCATTGTCCATTCCTTCACTAAATATGTGCAACCAGGCTTTAGAATCAGGATATCTCTCGTGTGTTTGGAGGACAGCATTTAGTATTATCACCCTAGATTGAGAAGTTATATTTTGTGTTCTTAAAAGAAGTTATATAATTTAAAGACTATGCAAAAGTCATAAAAATATAAATATTATTCTGATAGAAGTAGTAACTACCAATTACTGATAGTTACAAATGAAAAATGTGAACTAGCTTTCTTTGTTTTTAATGCTCCATATTTCAAATTACACAATATCTTTATCATAATTTCTGATTTTTGTAATTCTTCAGAGATGAGTATTTCAGGATGAAGCTTCAGTGGAAATCTGTCAGTGAAGAACAAGAAAAAAGAAACACTAGACTGAGGGATTACAGAAGTCTTATTGGTAATTTTTAGAAGTATAAAATTCCATACAATATAAATATTAAAGATAAATGTTTTTTCCTACTATAGGGATGAAAAGTGTATATTTTTAAAAGATTATTTCAGTTCATCTGAGTTGTTTTATTCTTTTCCTTTTTCTCTTCATATGTAAAGAGGTAGCTTCCTAAGGAGATGCACTATATAAAGTAACAATGTAATGGTCTTCCCAGTCCATTCATGCATTTTTTATCACAGTTATTTCAATATGCTAAATTAAACTGAGATTTTTTTTGGTCTGGAATATAAAACAATATCATATGATTTTTAGAAAATGCAGACATTTTAAAGGCTCTATAAGAGGCTCTTCTGCTTGCTTGTTTATTTAATTAATTTATATGGTTTCCTTTTGTCATGTAATCATAGTGGCTAGCAAATAATGAAAAATTACAATACCGGTAATAAACCAAAAATTATAAATATATTGCACTGAGGACAAATTTATACATTCAAGCAATTGAAATTCACAAAATCTCCTGATCCATTGTCTAGGGGAAGAGTCAGGTCTTTAAAGCCTTTCAAACAAGGCAAGTGGGTCCAAAGTCATCTGGATCTCAGGGGGAATTTCGTTCCAAAAGACAGGCACTGAGACAGAAAAGGCATGTCTCCTGGGTCCTGCAAGATGACACTGCTTGAGTGATGGGACCTGGACTATGCAACCCTGTGAAATCTTATTTCAGGTGGAACCAATATTATGCAAACATTTGCATAAAGATAACGCTTTTTTTGCAGTAGGTTGCCATGAAAATCAGATTATGATGATGTAAATTATATGGCATATTCAATAGCAGCAAAGTATATAAACACTCAGCATAGCAATAATTAAGCTACATGATACGAGAAAGTTTCCCACTGATATCATCTGATATCAGAATAAGAGTCACTTTGGTGTAATGCTTAAGTCATAGGCTAGAACCCATGGGACCATGAGTTATAATTCTGTTTTAGGCATAAAGCCAGCTGGGTAAGCTAGGACCAGTAACTTCACCCTTAAGAAGGAAGCAATGGTGACTTCCGGTTTTGACGTCGTGGTAAGACGGATGCAGGGAAGCAGGGCTCTGCCTCCCGCACCCGATTTCTTCCTGCCGGAGACCCGAAAAGGGCCTGAAGTCGCCCCGGAGAGGCGACAAAACAAGAGGGGACCCTTGTATATCGCAGGGAGACGGTGGTCAACCCACTTGATCCAAGGAAGCCCTCAGAACTGACAGGAGAAAGACTGGCTGGACCTCCGGAGAAAAAATGGTATTTTTTTTTGCCTTTCTTGGAGAGTATCGGAGCAAAACTTAAGGGGGAAAAATCTTTTTGGTTGAAAAATTACAAAACAGATACCTAATGACATGCAAAAAAAAAAAGAACTATACCAAGCTGTATCTATATTTTGTCTGGAGTGAGGGAACTTGGCCGGATGCCCAGACATAAATAACAGACTAAACCCTTTGATGTTTCTGAACTTCATAACGTGGTAGATTGCAGATGGAAAAAGAGAAAAACTGTTTGGGTTGTCTTTTCAGCAGGACGGATTACAACTAAAACTACAAACTATTTTGAAGCCATCTGGCTTCCTTGGATTAGAAATATTGTTTGACCTGTAATTTTATAAACTATTTAGAGACAGACTGAATGGCAAGGAACTATCTACTCTAAGACAATTTGGATTGTAATTTTGGCAGATTAGCATCTTTGGATTTTGGGACAATTGGTTAGAGCTGGAGTCAGAAGATAGAAGTGGATTATAATTTTTTCCCCTCATTTTTTCTTTTTCTTTTTTTGTCTTTTCCCTTTTGTTTTTGTTTTTTCTCTTTTTCTTGTTGTCTGGGGAGCCTATTGGATTATAAACTTTTAGTCTCAAAACTACTTAAGGACAGTGGAAACTTAACTGTTGGTGATTTTCTTTGAAGAAGGCTCTATGGAGTATTAATTTTGAATAGTAGGACCTTGCAGATTATAAATTTTCACTGAACGATAATCTTGGATTTTGGACAACTACTCTGGAAGTGAGCCCCACAAACAGAATTGGATTACAATTTTTTTTTCTCTTCTTCTTTGTTCTCCCTTTTTTTCAGGGAGTTTATTGGACTATAGAGACTATAGATAAGAACTATGAGAGTTATTTAAGACAAATTTAAATGATATATTCTGGTATTGAATACAAGATTAATGGTTTGGTATAAGGTGGACATTTGGGAAAAGTATTAGAGTTGATAAAAATTTTAGGGGGTGGAATTAAAAATGAGTGTTCCAAATTTAGCTAAAACTGGCAAGAAAACACCTACAACCCCGTCCTCCATCTCTGCAAGCCCTGTGTATCAGAGATTAATTTCAGCTGACTGTCCGCTACCTGCTACAGGTAGCGGACAGTCAGCAATTTATTATAAGTCATTGTCAGCTGTAATGCTACAACCCTTAAAA